TGAAATATCCCTTCAAAATCAGAGAAAGGAATTAGAAATGTGAAACCTCCATCAGTGTGCTTTCTAGGAAATCACTGTCTAGGCATGTCATGAGTGGAGCCAGCTGCAGCCAGGGGTCAGACTAGATGGCCCTGGAGACCCCTTTTGACTCACTCTGTTTCTATGTTTCTATGTCTACCTTTTGAGATTCATTGCCGCCTTCCCCAAGTAGGTGTTCACCAGGTATGTTGGGCTACAGCTCCCAGCTTGGGATGGAAGAGAAAGCTGCAACAGATTCTGCTAAGTTCACATGTGCATGATGCGCAAGGACTCCTCAGGAAACCCAACTCTCCCAGGGTCTATTCCTGACTCACGTGGATTCCATATACTTGCAAACTGGTTTCTCAGTTGCAGGGGGGAGGGGGATCTGCCCTAATTTGTACTAACACTGATGTGCATTTGTGCAAGTGCACATGTGTGCTAATACACATTAGTGCCGTGAGCTAGGGTTTCTCCCTTTGCACATGTAAAGCCACAGACTCTTCTTGCAAAACATTCTTTATTAAGAATTTTCCAGATGCACAGACATCTGATATGAATCTCTGAGCATGCACAGAGCAGTTCACTGAACCCAGCCTAGTAACCATTTCCAGGAACTCTCCTTATGAACTTGTCTGGCCCCATCTCTTCAGGAAGGGCCTTCTGAAAACAAGCAGTCCTCTAATTGGGCCACTCTCTGCTGGCAACCATGGTGGGGTCAAGAGCCATCCCAGCTCAAAGTCTCTTCCTGCCATCTGTACATCTTGGTTGTTCCCAGAGGCTGCCTGCCCAAGTGCCTCCATCTCTGTCTTCTCAGAGTCTCATTATGGCCCACATTCACCAGCTCCCTCCCGTGCCTCTCCTTCTCCCCCTCCCCCTTCCCCCTCCCATCCCCCTCCTAATTCTGCTTTGTCTGGAGACCAGCCAGCAGTCCTTGACAACAAGCACCCAAAGCAACCATCTTTCTTACTCCCAGCAATTAGCTCAAGAAAAAATAAAGTTTAATTTTTCAAAAAATCTGATGCTGTCAGTGCAGGGATGGTGGAATGAAAGATGCCTGGCAATCCACAAAACAGATGGAACAGATCTAACAAAATCCATACATCCCTTACTCAGGTGTAAACACTACCGGGATGCAGGATCTTGCACCATCACTGGCAGCAAACTGCAGGTAGGCAGGGGATAATGGAGTAGGAGGGGGAGAAATCAAAGACATGCAGAGGCCAAGGAGAAGCAGGAGTGTGAGCAGAGGGAAGGCATGCAAGGCACTGCTTCCCGGCAGGGGAGGGAAGAGGCGCATGAGCTGCTTCTGCCACAGGAATGAGGAACGAACAGGAGCCACGCATGAATGAGGAAGGAACCACTGCTGCTGCACAAGGAAAGGGAAAGAGGAGCAGGAGCCGCCCCCGCCACTTCCTACTCACCTTCTGCTCAAAGTCCTGGTGTAAGCAGTCCTTCGTGAAAGCATGGTGGCCCTGGGGTCTTCTTGGGGTGCTGCAGCAGGGTTGACCTCCAGTGGCCTCTCTCACGCCAAGGACCCCCCCCCACACACACACACACACCACTGCAAAGATGGATGGCGCTCCGGAGAGCCTCTGGGGGTTCTCTTGCCATGGCTTTTCCAGGAGCAGGGAGCAGCTCGTCCAGCTCTTCAGAGAGGACCCCATCTGGGCCTGACTTTGAGCAAGACACAGGATGGGTGCTGGTGGTGAGAGTCGTTTGGGAGTGCCAGAACCGCTGCTTACCCGCTGCAGTAGGAGAGCAGCCATGAAGTCTTTCTCTCTGCTGGCCATCCACTTTGAGAGGTGGGAGCAGCAGCAGTCATCAGACCTGTACCCCCCTGCCCGCCCTTGCTAGGCAGGGCATGCAGGATCTACCACCTTCCCGAGTGCACAGCCTGAGGCATAGGAATTTGACCTACCTCGCTAGCTGGCCGTCTTTCTTGCAGTCCAACAAACAGGGAAGACACCAGATTACGGAAGCCTATTTTGTTGCCTATCCTACACAGAAAGGCCCCCTATTCAGTTTTCTGGGTAGGGGCAGCAAAGTGAGACAGTTGTCTATGCACATTTTATTGAGCACACGGAGTGGCTTCCTTGGCTGCATTAATGAGGAAATTCTCTGTAAGGGAAACACCAGGTTCAGCCCAGCGTGCTCCAGGTTGCCTGCATTCGTTTGGCTGCTCATTTAGAGCATCGTTTGCTTGCCTTTGCATCTTTGATGCACCTCATTGCTCAGAGCAGGATTCCAAGGTAGCAAATAACCCACCTGTGCAGCATACCAAGGCCACCAGCTCCCTTTTGTCAGTAGAAGAGCACTGAATATTTGTGCTCATTTGCTGGGCTTCATTGTGCCGAGCTTTAAAAGCAGTGAATTAAGGAATGGTGGCCTTTGGAGGTACAGGGAAATAATATTTTACCTTGTGAGACAGCAAAAAAAAAAAAAAAAAATCCCCCAACTTCCTGAGAGAAATAAATAAAACAAACCACTAGATATATTCTGGTCACTCATACTTGTTTCACTGAGAAGTGCCGGGTTTTGGCTAGTTCTCAAAATCAACTTTGGGGCAATTTATAATACAGATTACGGGAATATAATCTCATTCCCAGATAAACATTTATTATGCTTTCTGTTGCAGAAATAATGTGGTTACTCAGGCTCAGTTCTCACAGGCTTTGGATGAAGTGTGTCTCTACTTACCCCTTCAGACTGCCTGGGGGACAGCTCATAAAATCTTGCCCCTACACAGGAAAAAGGGTGTATAAGGGAGAAGACAAGGCTAGAACAGCTAGACAACTTCTTTTTTTCCCCTGTGTGTGGGGGGGGATTGTGTACAGGAACATTCCGTTATGCTAATCTTCCCTCCTGCAGCCTAGTGCAGTATTTCATCTGCTGTTTGCGAAAAAGCAAAGCAAAAGGGCAGAGCAACGAGATGGAATTTCCACCTCATCCAGAGCCCTGTCAGTTCACTCAGCCATGGCAGGAAGCCAGGGTTCTCTGGCAGAGTAGGTTTTTCTGAATTTCCAAATGTTGTCACAATGGGAGGGAATTTCCTTCTGGCAGTTCAAGGACTGCCATTGCTTATGGACTCAGCTCGGTCCTCTCTTTGGAAAGGGAGAGGTTTCTATCACTTTCTATCCACCCAACCTACCTTGCAGGGTTGTTGTTATGAGAAAAGATTGAGAGTAGGAACAGGAGAATTATGTGAACCACTGTAAGTTCCTTGAAAGGAAAAAAGTAGGATATAACTATAATAAATAGAAATAAATGAATAGATATTACCCCTGTCACAAAATAGTAATTTCTTAATGAAAAATTTCTTAATACTCTACTAATATTAAGACTAGCCAATGTAATTTGCTTTTTGTGTATGTTTTGAAACCTCTTAGTTATGTATCAGATTGTGAAGTTGTATCATCCTATCATGCCATTTCACAGATAGCATAGAAAAATCACCATTTTCCCCCTAGAATAATTTTCCTTTGGTGATAGACATACAGCTATATTCTATTATGCGGGGATATAGTAAAGCTGCTCTTGTTTTCATTCAGTTGCTCTAGATGCATTTACTGTGCAGCACTTTAAAAATATTTCAGTTATTACTTTGGAAGCTGGATTCAACAGGCCAGCTAAAACTTGGAGACCTTTGAGCATAAGCTGTTTTATCCCATTGAAATCAGTAGTTATAAATTGACTTAAATCCAAGTGCGGCTTTGGAGAAACTGGCTTTGGAGCAACTGCCGAGGCTACAGATATTGCAGTTTCAAATATCCTTCTGCTCCTCATGAAATAGTTGAAGGCTAAGAGGCTTAAATCTTTGTTTTTGTTTTGATCAGAGGAAGAGCGCTGTGCACATTCCACCCAGAAAAGTAATGTCTAGGATTTGTTAAATCGTTCAGTGCAGCTGACCACAGGAGAAGAAAATGTGCATAGAAATAATAACAAGTTTAGCTTACATGTTGCAAGTAGAGCTGCATGTTTTTGGCAGCCAATGCAAATTCTGATCCAAGTATATGATGGGGAAACAGAAATTCTGTACTGCAGCATTCTGAATATCCCATGTTTGCTTGCTGTCCACTCAACTGTTGTCTTTTGTTACGAACTAAAGATCATTCCCTAGGTCATGCCTCTGAGATGCATTCCTGTTTTCTGGCTTCCGTGGCAGTGAGTGACCATATTCAGCCAAGGGGACTGTATATGGGTAGAATATGGGTTGTCACTGAACCATGTGTTGTGGTGTTGTCCGAACTATGTGAACCATGTTCAACAATCATAGTTTACAATGTAGCAACAGACCATGGGTTCTCATCATGGGTTATTCATGGTTAGTAAGCAGTGATCTGTCAGTGCAGCTTGGTTCAGGAAACACAGTAACCCACATTCCAACAGCAGCTCATGCTTTCAAGACAGTCCACACTGAAGGGTTATTTTGTCGTCTGAATCCAGCCAGTGTATCTTCTGTTATCCATGTATCAAGCTCTGGAGCAGAAATAGTCCTTGGATCTCCAGAAGCTACCCTCTCTGACTTACAAGCAATGCTTGCAACTGGTGAAGCAGTTCTTACTGGTGTGCATACCCAGTGAAGCATCTCATCTCTTTATGACATTCGGCCAGGGCCAGGACGACTTATTTTATATTGTAAATTTGTTTTATATTTTTAATGTATTATATTTTAATGTTTTGTGAGCCGCCCCGAGGCTTCGGCAAATGGGGCGGCATAGAAATTTTCTAAATAAATAAATGATCCATGGAAAGGCAGAGTCCTTGGATCCACCAGATTTTTCTATGACAGTTCCTTATCAACACCAGCCTCAATGAAACCCCTTAAGCTGCTAAGAAAAAAGGTCAGAACATTTTAAAAATCACCTGAGGTATATGTGTGTGAGAGGTATAAAGGCTAGTCAGACTCACAGACTAGTTGGTACTCACAGATGAGGCCTATGGGTGCCATAATCTGCATAAATTTACCTTCTCTCTTTCAGAAAATTGTGGGACATACTTTCCGGAAGTGAAGCGCAATCCAGAGAAATACATACAACGTTGTCCTGACTCTGTTAAAAAGTGGCTAAGAAGACTGAAGGACAATGGAAAGATTCTAGTACTGATTACCAGCTCTCATAGTGACTACTGCAGGCTGTTATGTGAGCACACTTTAGGGTATGTTGTTTTATTTTAGATTCTGCCTTCCAGACAGCACTAATAATAATAGCACTTATAAATACGCAGCCGAGGACTTCAGAGAATGTACACATGTGTCTCCAAATGAAAGGCCAATATCAGGTCAGTTTCCCCATCACACCCGTAATGAGAGCCAGATGAGATGAGATGCAGAAGATGTGTGTACAGTCATTCAGCAGTGGTTTATCACGGTATTTTATTAATAAAGCGCAGCCATAGAATGCTGCAAAAATTATATGCAGTGCTTTTCCTGTGGGCCACATGGCCATTTATGCTGCAGAACTCTCCCCACAGAGGGGAAGGTACAGTGCATGTATGCTCAGCTCTGCACGTGCTGCTTTAATTAAATTTCTAGCCTCTCATAGAGCCAAACAATTATTTTATTTTATTTTTATTTATTTTTCGATTTATATCCTGCCTTTTTCCTACAAAGGGCTCAAGGCAGCTTACATATTCTCCTCCTCCATCTTATCCCCACAACAACAACCCTGTGAGGTAGGTTGGGCTGAGAGTCTGTGACTGGCCCAGAGTCACCCAGTTGGCTCCATGGCTGAGCAGAGACCAGAACCCAGATCGTCTGAGTCCCATTCCCATGCTCTTAACCACTACACCATATTAATGTGAACCCATATCTACTAGCTGTGTCATTTTTACATTTTACTTTGGGGTAGGTGCGGGGAGTAGATCCAGATAGTGTGCCCAGCATAGGAGCTTTCAAGATCTGGATTGGGGGCCCTGCAATCCATTCTGGAGCAAAACTAAAACATTGTTTAAAGACAAAGCTGCTAGATATGTATTTAAAGTAAAGTTTGTTTTGTCCTTTGGAACAGGACAAAACTTTGGGAGACTATTCTGCTTGTGTATTAAAAGTAAGAAAGTGTGGGCAAATGTTAACTGGTAGAAAATTATTCACTTCAAGGCTACCCCTCAGCTTTGGTCAAGAACAGCCAATCGAATCCCAAAATTCACCCTTTTTGAGGCAGGCACTCTTTGGTACGCCAGGAAGACACAGCTGTTCTGTGGTCGACTTGTCTTTGTAAACCGTCCTGAGATGTCTGTGATGGGAGAGTCTAGAACAGTTTTAAATAAATAAATAAATAAATAAATGTATGTATGTATGTATGTATGTATGTATGTATGTATGTATGTCTGTGCCTCAGAAATCACCCTAGTCCAGGGTCCAAGGTCTCCCAAGCTCCCAGTTATTCCACACTTTGGGGTAAAGCCAGGGACTCACCTGTACCCTAAATGTCATGCTATTCTATTAGTTTTTGAACCCTCAAACCACATTCCCAGTTGCCCAAGCTGTGTTCCTGATACTTGACTTCCTGTAACTTTCTCCATCTCCAGTGCATTTCAGGGCTTCATGGTATCTTTTCATGCAATGAATCAACGAATTCTGCACTTATACTCTAGACTCACCATTGCTGGCTTATCTCTGCTGACATTCCTGCACCCATCCTGAAGCATCCTGCTTAAGGATGCTATCCCAAGCAATATGATTTTCTTCATCATGACCACTAGAAATGAGTTACATTTAAATTTAAAATACCTTGGCAGCCTATTTGCTCTCACAGAATTCAAAGAATACTTCCAAGGATACTGTTCTGTCACAAAGTTTCTAATCCACTTGGAAAGCCTGGCAGAAAAACCCAAAACACTGAAAGCTGTTTAAATTTGGCTAAAGGGCCTACGAAAACCCTGTATGAAAAAAGCGGCACATCTTTTAAAATGAGAAAACTGGGGACGTATAAAGACATTTAAAAGCATATCATCATTGTCATTTCATCAACAACAAAGTCTAGAACACTGAAGTAACCTTTGGCAGAGAGGCAGGAGAATGGAAAGGAAAAAGAATGAGTGTTTCCCTGTGAGGTAGCCTGAACTATTTGCTTGTTCATCCCTTCCCCTATAAGGCAGCCACAATTGCCAGACACATGAACCAAAGGAAAGGGATCTTCGCTAGGGATTTCCATAGGTTCTCCTATTGTAACAGTACCCTTATGACTTGTGATTTTTGTAACCGTTATACTTTTATGGTTTTAGTATAATTCGATTGCATTCGATTAGAACCCATTAACTTTGTTCCGCCAAGCATTGCTGTTATTGGTCCGATTGCAGCTGAATTCCAGTAACAGCACATCTGTTAGGATATTGAGCTCGATGGACCAAAGGTCTGACTCAGGCAAGGCAGCTTCCTGTGTTCTGATGAGTGAAACTTTTCTAAAGTAGTGTGCATAAAACTGAAGTCTAACAATGAGTGTCATGTATGAGTCACGATGAACCAGATTTATTAGTAGAATACAAAATATACTGAACTGGTTAGCTTGCCTTTGTTGCAACTTCCAGTTAATTTAATGAGTTGGTTCTACTGAAACAAATATCAATCTGAAAAGACGAGGACAGGGAAGGCTAGTGCTTTCTTTGCTTTTGGGTTTAATTAAATTGATCCACAGTGAACTGACTTTCTTTCCCCTTGTGTGTTCAAAACACTGGAGATCCCTAAAATTCTTTATGTCCTTTGCAGACATTTATTTTATATATATTGAATGCATGAGGAGTGAATGGGTTGGCAATGATAGGCACTGCCTCCTATTTGCATCCAAATTCCTTGAGTGTAAGTATAATATACTGTACAGATATTGTACTATATTGTTATGTTACCATGAGTGAATCTAGAAAATAGAAAAGACTGAGGCTGTAATCCTATGCAGACTACCAGGAAATAAACCTTACCAACTTCAGGTTGGTTTAATTTCTGTGAGTTTAACTTCCATGTATGGAAATTTCTGTACTCTTTTCAGCTGCTTTTCACATACTTTCACTTAGCTAACAAACACTTTTGGAGGGATATGGCCTATCACTGTTGGAATGTAAATCTAATTTGTTGAGACTTGTACATAATATTTTGCAATCTGGTCAATAATAAACATTTGTCTTCCGATATCTCTGCTTAGAATATGGCCTTGGTAAAGCTTTCTGAATAGGTTTGTTAGCATTTCTTCATTAACATTAGTAGGACATAAGTATGCTTAACTTCTGCACTGGAATGTAGTCACTGAATGCTGTCTAGAGAGTCCAAGAGATGTATGGCCACTTTGAATAGAGTATTTTATGTCCCACAGATTTCAATATGGGATTTTAGTTAGTATTACTTTCTCTGGATTGTTCCCAAGGTATATAAATGATACTATTTGCTTATATCTCATATTATTTAACTGTAATTTATGGTCAGGTATTTGCCCACTTCAGCACTTAGTATTTTTTCAGATTAAATTACCTGACTGTATGTATCAAGTATCATAAGCATTTCACAGATGGAGTTAATTTTATAGATTAAATTATTTATTTTTTGTGAAGTAAGAACTTTAGGCATTTCTGATGGCTGTAAAACCCATTTGTCTACTTGTATTAACCTTGCATTTCATTAGCAATCAGTCGTATGTTGGATTTTCAGGAACACAGCAAGCTGATTTAGTACTGCAGTAAATATGCATTTACTGCAGCATTTCTTATTCTTATTGATATAATCTATTTGTTCAAGTAGGAAGTAGAAATGATTACTGTACAAATAATTATAAAACCCTAATTACGCTGTCCTAATCTGTAAAGCATCCTACAGTTTGCTGCTATGTGAATGCGGGGTTTTTTTTTCAGAGTTTAGCAGCCATTGCCGATTTCTGGTGGGAAAACTGTGTTTGTGGACAACACAAAATACCAGGTTTGGTCAGTCATGACCAGCTAGACAGCTGGTCCTGTGCTGGTTCTCAGCAGCTAACCCCTGGATTGATTTATTTCTTTATTTTTAAAAAAAATTCTAGACCACACTTTATCCAAATAGATCCTCTGGCAATATACAGTACCGAAAACCTGGCATAATCCTTCAGAAAAGTGAGAAGCCACCAAGCCATAAAACCCCAGACAAGGACAACAAAGCCTAGTGCCTTCTCTTGACTTGATACTGGAAAGATTAGTGTCAGTGACCAATGAACTTCATTAGGGAGGGAGTTCCAAAGTTTAGACACCACCAAGGAAAGGCCCTCTCCTTCCTACAGACATAATGTACTTCACTAGCTAATGATAGAAAAAGAAGACCCTCATCTAAAGATGAATGCAGGGGCAGGATGGTGTGGCAGGAGATGTTCCCCATCAGGTCCAGAGCTATTTAATGGCAAACAGCAGCACCCTGAATTGCACTTCGAAAAACATAAGCAGCCAATAGGATTCTTTAAGAATTGGCATAATATAGCTGTACCAGTCAGAATTCCCAACAACCTAATTGTGAACTAACTTTAAGTGCTCAAGTTATTTTCAAGGGCAGCCCCATGTGCACATTACAGTATTCAAATTGGGAGTTACCAGAGCATGAATCACCACAGCCAAGTTACCTATGATGGATATGCCATTTGTGGAGAGGATTCACTGGAAGGAGAAATTTGCATGACTTCTCATCCTTCGTTTCCCCCAAAGCAGGAATATAATTGTTAGGAATCAGCCCTGCTCTGGCGAATGGAACGGGGTCTACAGTGCAGGCTGCCTGGATTGCTCCCATTGGCTCTAACCATCAAACAAGCCGTTTCAAGGAAACAGGAGGGAACTGTGTATATACTGAGAAACCGCTTGGTGGTCCATAGGGACGCATCCTATTTGCTGGTCTCTTTTCAGTTTGCCTACTCCATTTGCTCTCCCTTTCTTTCTCCTGGCATTCTAGCTAATCATTGTCTATCACCCATCGATCCATAGATGTGCAAGCACAACTGCAGTCATATATTTCTTGAGGCAGTGAAAATGGAGTTGAGGTGGGGGGGGGCGCGGAATCTAGCCCACCTTTCCCAAAAACCAAATGGTGGGATTCCAGCTTCGTCCTGTTAGACTGGGCTGTTGAACTGTATGCAAAGCACTCAATGGAGGCAGGTGATTTCCTGTGCAGTTTGGATACTTCTATGCCTATATAGAGCCTGGCAGGATTAGGGTGTGTCTGTTCTGACAAGCCATAGAGAAGTTCCAATCACCTGTTTTCACAAAGACTGAACACATTTTGAAACATCTGTGCCTTGGACTTTGTAAAAATATCTATAGAATAGTAGAGTTGGAAGGGGCCAGAGGGCCATTGGGTCCAACCAATGCTCAGTGCAGGACCCTAAGTTAAACCATCCCTCTCCAATGGCTGTCCAGTTGCATCTTGAGGGCCCCTAGTGTGGGAGAGCCCACAACCTCCCCAGGTAATTAGTTCCATTGTTGTACTGCTCTAACAGTCAGGAATATTTTTTCCTGATATCTAACCAGAATCTGGCTTGGTATATCTTGAGCCTGTTATTCTTTGTCCTGCACTCTGTGATGATCAAGATCCTGGCTTTGCTCTTAATGCCTTAAAATGCATTGTTGTTGATTTGGCTTTCTTTTTCTTATTCTTCCAGGAATGATTTTGCAGACCTTTTTGACATTGTAATCACGAATGCCCTGAAACCAGGCTTCTTCTCCCAGCCACCAAATCAAAGACCTTTTCGAACACTTGGTAAGCTCAAATGATATCTATATGTTTGGGCCAGGCAAACATCTTTTTAAAGACATTGGGATAGTGACCTGTGAAAATAGAAGTGTAAAGCAGTAAAGATTTTGGTTAGAAACCCAAAGGAAAGGAAAGGAAAGCTAAGAACGTTAAAAAAGGAAGAAAAAGTTCAGAATCTAAAAAAAGGAAGTAAAAGTTCAAGCATTTGTAAATGTTTGGGAGGAACTGAAACTGCAATCTTCACAACACTGAAGTCAGTAATATTTTTAGATTGGTAACTCACAAAGTGAATCTGAAGAAAGTCTTTCCCAACCATCTCAGAGTACCATGCAGGGCCAGGACAACCTCCTTTGTGGGACTGTTCCATATCTTGGGAAGCCTGGCTACACATACTATATTGGTATCAATGTTCTGATTGCATTATGGTATCAGTGAAGCAATATTATTGGATTTATTTGCATGTGTTGAACTAGTCATCCTTGACTAATGTTATGACTCTTTACAGCAAGGGTTTCAGAACCTCTTTCTGTCCAAGGGCCAAATTCTGTTCCAGAGAATTTCTGAAGGACCCATTCCAGTGGTGGGCAGAGCCCAATGCAAAAGGCGCAGGGCCATAACTTTCCCAGATACCAAGTTTACTTCCTGCATAACTGACTTCTAGGAGAGGCATTCCAGCATTTTAGAACAGGAGGGGAGGGGATTACATAAAAGCCAGAAAACTATTCAATTACTAGTAGTTGGGGGAAAGGGGTGTGGTCAGAAGGGGTGGAGCCTCCCAGTATGCTGTGGAGAACCAGATTGGGACCCCCAGAGGGCCAGATGTGGCCTCTAGGCCTGAGATCTGCACCCTGTCTTACAGTCCCCCAGTGAATGTTTTCCTCTGCTCTCTTTCCCTCCTAGAATTCCTGCCTTTTAAGGGCTCTTGTAAAACAACATGTGAGCAAAATCCAGCATGTTCCTCGAAGGAAGATGCTGAAAATGTCTCAAGTTTGAAATCTGGTATGTCACTACCAGAAAAACTGCCTTTTGCTAAGGCTGGGCACAAAGGGCAAGGAGCTGGAATTTAGAGAGTAGTGAAGGGAGCATATAATTCATCCTTCTCATGCTGGATTTGGTCCCAGGACCAATGCAGATCTAATACAGGTATATTTGAGAAGAGTTCAGGCATGGTGTCTTTCTGTACAGCATGAATTGTACTTTTATTGGCAATACTCTGTAACCTTGGCAAAAGAATCTGTTTCACTGGAAAGGCAGCCAAAGCAGAGGCTTCAAGGCTGCCAGAGAGGAGAGGAGAGCACTGGGTGATTGAAAAGTCAGAAGCAAACTGTCTGCATGCATCCTTTGCTGATTAAATTCAAGGGAGTTACATGCCACTACATACTTCTGTTGTTATATTTGTATTGGTATATTCCTCTTGGCCATTACAAAGCATTGGCCCAATCCTAAAGTGCCACAGCAGCAGGCAGAGAGAACTGATCTTAAGGACTTTGACACTTGGTGGGATAACCCAAAGATCTCAGCATCAAGCCCAGAGAGCTGCTGTTACAAGCTGGCAGGCTGGGCTTGCCACGCAGGATATCAGAAACTCTGAAAGCATAAGAAAGTTATCCATCATGTTGCCCAGGTAAAATGACCTGCACAGCAATTTCCACTGAAAAACTCACCCAACTAAAGTGCAAGGTAATCCGTAATTCTGTAAGGAGCATACAGAAGCACTAGGATTTAGTAGGATGTCTGCCACGCAGAGATATAACCAGAAATGCACTGAAGCAGCAGCAGGTTACACAAGTTGTGTGTCCTTCATTCACATGAGCACATACATTAACTAGCTCATTGGCTGTAGTCATACGCTACAAGTCCCTCCTTTAGTATATCGTTTCTTCCCACCCAACAGGACTGGCTAAGACCCTTGGAGCTTATTTGACCCACACAGTGCAATCATAAAATTTCTGTGCATCTAAAGGACTGCAAAGTACAGGAAGAAATTTGGGCAGGCCTGCACAACTCCTGATCGACTCTCCACAGTTTGCAGCTGCCAGGCACTTAGTAAATTTCTTTTTTGCTGCAGAGCTAGGCAGGTAGCAAAACCAGATTTACTGAGTTCCTGAATAGTTGTCCTAGATGGTTAGTTAGGTCACAGCATAAGCCTGAAACAGTAAAAAGCAGTACAGAAAATTAACTAGATCAGTTTCTGGAGGGTTAGGCCACTTGGATAACCCAAGTTAGAGTCTTGTGGCACTGTAAACATTAACAAATTTATTCTTTCACAAGTTTTCATGGACACAGTGAAGTGAACATTATCCTGTCAGGTGCCACAAGATTCTTTTGCACTTCAAGTTACCTGGTAGTTCCACCAGCAACCCTCAAAGGTTACTACTTTCACACTGTGGGAGAGTACCTCTGAATCAGGAAGTTAATCTGAGAAGCTAAGTCTGCATCTGCATTTTCTGGCTTTCAAAGGCTGAACATTCAGCAAAGAACTGCAGCAGACCTGTCACAGGAAACTCCTTCAGCCATGAACAGAGCTTGCTTTGTTTCTTGAAAATGAATAGGGCGATCAGTCACGAACAATTGATTGTTAGCACTGGAATAGCAGATTTCTCCTGTTAGCTTTAGAACTATGCATACAATTTACTGCCTTTTGCTTCAGAGTGACTGATAGTGTCTTCAAGTAAAAGTTAGAAAAGCCATCTGTCAGAATTTGTCAATATCAGGTTGTCTTCCCCCAACCACAACAACAGAAGAGGAAGTTCAAAGTTTATCCATGCAAGACTATGTAAAGCAATATTTGTATTGTTAAGCCGTCTCAGACATATGGTGATGCTATGAACGAATGCCCTCCAAAGTGCCTTTTCCTTGAAAACCCTCAGGTAATTCCTGTACATAAAATTGAAATCCTAGCAACACAACCATAAGAAAAGCACATGTTTAAACTGTTTCTTCCATCCTCCTACCTCAAACCTTTTCTAAAGGGGCCAGTTGACAGGTGCCAGTGGTGGGCGGGCTGCCAAGGAGGTACCAGCGGGGGGGGGGGGGTTGTGCGGGCCGGTGAGGGGGCTGGGCATGCGCGCATGCGCATGCACACAAGGCGAGGCGGGGACGGGGCGCACAGGGGCTTGCTCGCAAGGAGATTGAGTCCAAAACGACCTCCTCGCAAGCAAGCCACAGCTGGGCGCGCTCACAGTGAAGTGCTGGCTTGCTCACGAGGAGATCTTTTCCTCTGATCAAGTCCAAAACTATCTCCCCGCAAGCAAGCTGCTGCCAGGCACATACGGTGAGGCTCCGGCTTACTCACAGGGAGATCATTTTCTCCAAGCTAGTTCAAAATGACCTCCTCGTGAGCAAGCCGCACGCCCGGGGAGTGCAAAATCTGTGGGGCGGGCCAGTTAAATGGGCATGGCAGGCTGGATCCGGCCCACGGGCCTTAGTCTGAGGACCCATGATTTACAGGGCACAACAGGAGTCAAATGGTAGAAAGGACAAATGCGGTTCTGCTGTTCTGACGGGGCTGCTGCATTTGGCCTGCTTCCTGGTCTTCCAAGCACAGATAGACGTCTCAGGCATCCTGTGCCTGCTTGCTTTCCAACTTATTTCCAGGTTGTCACCCTGTACATGCATATTTGAGAGAGAGCCCCAGTTGGCAATGGGATCCCATGGAAAAAGCACGTGTGTGTAAATGACAGCAGGCCTTCAGGATACATGCAGATTTCAGACATCTGTAGAGGACCTTCCAAAATGTGTGCCCAGGCCAGGCTCAGGCAAACTGAGACTGCCCAGCAAGACCCAGCTCTGCTGTGTCGTTCAAAGCTAAACCCATTTGGGACTGGTCAATGCCTGGAGAATATAGGGCTGTGCTTCCTTCCACTGCTGTGCCTATCACAGCAGCAAACTGGGCTTTCTCCAGCCCTCAGGTATGTCGGAGATTTCCAAGGCTTGGAAGGCACAACCTTTATGCTATGCAGGGAAGATACAAAATGTTTCGTATCAAATGGAACCAGTGGTGTGGTTTTAAAATCAAACATTTCTGGCCTCTGTCCTAGCAGTTTTCTGTGGAAGTTAATGCAGGTATTTTCATCCTTGGCCAGCTTTGCATATTCTGTTGTACACAGAATTCTTTTTGGTTTGGCTTGGATTTTGTATTGTGTTTTGTTTTGTTTTGTTTTTGAAAAGTGAATGTTGAGAATCTGAAGTTGCCATGTTCAGCAAAAGTTTTTTTAAATAGTAATTTGAAAGAATACAGTCTCAGTGACCACTAGTCTTTCAGATTTCAAAGTTATATGAGAAACTAATCCATAGATGAGTCACTGGCTGCCATTTCAGAGAGATGGAAAGTTGAATAATTGTGAGTTGGATTCAGAGTATCCTTTCCATGCATGGCAAGGAAGGGTTCCTTACACCCATGGAAGGGACTGTGATGCAGCAGGGGCTCCCCAGATATTTCTGAGATTTGCAAGATCTTCCATCCTCGTGCGCTCCCACAAAAGCCTGCCATGTGCAGATTTCCATTCACTGGACCTCCGAAGGTGGAGCTTTGCTTCTCATTTTTGGATCATTTTCTTCCCTTAAGAATGCCATTTGAAAATCTAAGCAATGCAAGTACAAGACTTATTTATTTTATTTGCTATATTTATATCCCACCTGTTCCCAGTAATTGGGACTCCCCACAGCTCACAGCATTAAAATTCATACAATTAAAACATTAAAATATGCAAAGGTTAAAAAATATAATTAAATTAATTAAACATTAACATTGAACAACCCAGATTAAAAACACTACAAAATATAAACAGTAAACTAATCCAGCAGAAATTCGGAGGCTGTTCCCAAATGTCAGTTGGAGCAAAATGGATTTTGCCTACTTTTGGAAACCTAACTGGGCATGTGCCAACCTAGCCTTTCTAGGAGGAAAATTCCAAAGCCTTGGCACAGCCACCAAGCAGTCCCTCTCCCACCATGTGTGCCTGTGAGGGTAGTGGGACCAAGAGAAGGGCCTTCCCAGAAGATCT